CATATATTTTATATATAAGAAAATAAAAAAAATAAAAAAAATTAAAAAAAATTACTGTTCCGGGCCCGGGCCGGGCTCGCCAACGGCGAACCGGGCCCGGGCCCGGGTTTTACCCGGGTTTCCGGGCCCGGGCCGGACACCGGGCCGGGCCCGGGCTCCGGGCTTTTTTGGACACCCCTAGGCTGCGTATGTCTTCCCCCTAATATGAAGAGATCTTTGCCTGGCCGCGAGGAATCAATCAAGAGATCTTTGCCGGTCAGCGATCTCGGGTGAGGGAATAAGGCGTTTATATACGAAGCTTTTTTTCTCTCTCTCTTTTTTTTCTTTTAAATTACACCGTTGCGCCTCGTTTGGTACTCGAAAATGAGTGGGGAGGTAATGTAATCCATACTTCTTATTCATGTCTACCAAACATAATGTATTTTCGATCGGAACGCTAGAAATGTTGTTCCCACTTCTCATCAATTCCCATCAATTCCCACTTAACGTGGGAATCGCTATTCCCGATGAGTTATCAAGTAGTTGATATTACACGCTAGTAAATTTGAGAAAATTATAAATATATTATTCAATTCATGCATGATACAACAAATTAAGAAATTAAGAAGATAATATTAAGGTTAACAACACAATAACTACAATTGAGAAAATCATTACGTCTATTAATCTTTTCTCCCCTCTCTCTCTCTCTCGAGCACGAGGATTTAACATATGCAAAACAATGGTCAGAGAAGAGATCGAGAGAGAGAAAGGCATCTCAAAAGCACGCCTCCAGCACACAACAGCAGCACAATGCAGCCGCACTGCAACAAAAACAAAAGCCCACAAGTTATTTTTTTTTTATTTTTGATCCCACCTTTGACACACATGAGAATCGAACACAGGCCTATACGAGAGAGCAACATGATTTTGCCACGTGACCTACTGAGCCACCCACCCACAACTTAACTAACCATAGCAAAATTGAGGTTGGGATTATCGTAGTGCTATTTATTACATACCTCTAAACTTTTCTATAGTTGATATTTGGGGGTTTTCATACGTACCCCTTCAATATTCTATATTTACAAAACTACCTCTCAAATATTAGTACTTGCAAAATTAATTACCGCCAAATCTCTCACTAGGGTTTTTCTACCTCACCTGCTTACAATGGTAAAAAAAAAATTCAAATAATGATGTAAGATGACATCTATATATGTGTGCCACAAATATTCATGGACTTTCACTTAACTTTCAAAAATAATGGGAAATTTCTCTTAAGTTTAGGGGCTATCAGAAAACCACTCTCTACAAGTGTGAACCTCAATTTCACTGTTAAGAATATCGTCAGCTTAATTAATTTTTCCTGTTCGTATTAAAATTGCAATTAACCCTATATATCAAGAAGAGTTTCCTGATAAAATCTTAAATGAAGTTTTCTAATAACCCCTGAACTTAAGAGGGTTTTCCGATATTAAACCTATAAATATAGATAACAGATAGATATAATTATATTTTTTCGGACACCGAGTTTAGAATAATAATTAGATGCTGACTGTTGGAAGATTTTGATCATTTATGATCAAAGGCATCCAAATTTATGAGGAAAGGAAAAAAAAAGAAGAAATTAAAGAATAGGGTATTTGAATGCAAGCTTACCATCCTTTCCAGAATCCATCACCTCGCGATTTCGTCTCGATGGGAACTTGGTCGGCAGGGGGGGCGCTGTTCACCGGATAACCTGCCGGAGGTGGTGGTGCGGTGTCATAAGCCGGCGGAGGATACACTGCTTAATCATCGCAATACGTGTCAACGTGGAATTTGAGTAGTTAGTGGCAAATTAATTAGTGCCAATAAGTTAACTCCCTTCCAATTGTTAATTGTCATCATTATCTTACCAACTAGGTTGTAGGTGCGCCAAACGTATTAGCAAACTTTAATCTGACATTTTTTTGTGTAGCACGCGTCTTTATATTGAGTACTTTTGGCTGTTTCTTTCGTGTATCTGGTTTATGTCCGTATATAATACCTCTCTCTAATCCGGTTAGGGGCTGTTTGGATTGATTTTTTAGATAGGTAAAAAGGAGGAAAGCTGTCAAAAATGTCAGCTTTTTGGCAGCTTTCCCTCAAAATCACCTTTTATAGAGGTGATTTTGGGGGAAAGCTGCCAAAAAGCTGACATTTTTGACAGCTTTCCCCTCTTTTATCTATCCAAAAAATCAATCCAAACAGCCACTTAGTTACTATCCTTTAGGATAGAGATCGTATCAGAACACTCTCATGGAAATATACCATCTGCGAAGAGTTTGATAATTTTAGCTATTCTGTTTATGGTGCAAACCATTCTAGGCCATGAGGTGATATATATGCTAAACTGTTAAATGAGAATAATCTTATAGAGAAGAGGAAGAAAAAGATGAGAGAGAGAGAGAGAGAGAGAGAGAGAGAACCTTGAGGGGGAGCTTGTTGGTGATCATAGTGAGTCATTTCCGCACCAAAAATATGAATATCAAGTCGAGCTAAATTAAGTAAGAGAAAGCAAGAGAAATGATATGAAGGTGGGATGTTTTCTAGCCTATTTATAACTAAGATTGCTTGATAAGAGGGACTTTAAAGGGCCGGTTACCAAAGAAAACGTGTAGGAGATAGAGAACAAATTCAAAGAGGCCAAATATTACAAGAATAGATTTTCATTTGGTTAATTAAATTATCTAAGGGACAGATGTTGTCAAGTTTGTTTCTTTTCTTTTCATTTTTTTTAACAATATTGAAGTGTTTAGAAATAGAGAGGAAAATGTCTTTGGAGAGATCAAAGGGAGGAGTTCGATGTTTCTGTTGGATTTTGGTGGAAAGTCACTTTCCTAGCTAATCTCACGTTGATTGGGTGAATTTGATGAAGCAAGCGTGTTGTCGAGTGGCAATTTATCTTATTTATTTATTTATTTTTGGCTTTTGATTCCAAATTAAAACAAACAAACTACTGACCAAGTCTTCTTTCGAGAGAAAATGGGCTTTATCTAATCAGGAAACACGAAAAGCCAAATTAATCTAAAGGCTTAAATAGAGGTAAGCTGTTTGGTTCCTGTTTTTGGATGGGTAAAAGGGGGGAAAGCTGTCAAAAAACTGTCATTTTTGACAGTTTCCCCCCTTTTAACCATCCAAAAAACCAATCCAAACAGCCCCTAAAGCTCTCGAAAAGAAATGAAAGCGTTGACTTTTGATATAGCTGCTTGTTTCATTGTAATTGAAGCCTGAAATGAATATTTTTTTGAGCTTTGCTACAAGGACCTAAAATATGGGACCAATAGAGGGGACAAGTGAGGTGTCTCACTCCTATTGGATAATGAGTTGGCCATCATTAATGATGACCAACTCATTATCCAATAGGACGGGAACACCTCACTTGTCTCCCTATTGATCCCATATTTTAGGTCCTTGAGGAATTTTTCTATTTTTTTCCCCACCAGTTAAAGGTGTCAGACCCTCTCAAAGCTCTCGCTTACTATCAAAATAAAAAGTGTAGTTTCCAAAGCCCAGCCCATCGGATGTTAAGGCCCAGGTAATCTAAGAGTTTTCTTTTTTCCCTTTTTTTTTTGTATTTTAAAACCAGAAGCGCTAGGCGAGGCCCAGCCCATTGAGCCAATATTTGGGCCTCCCTTTACCTTTTCTCGTCATTAGTAGTTGTTATATAAACTCTTGTAGTAATAATGAGATACTTCTATAATATAATGCTTTTATAGGAAGTTCTATACAACTATTATATTATTATTTTAATATCAACGTTAGTTTTATATCTTATATACACACACAATGAATCTTTGGTTAACGAAAAAAATTTTTTTTTTTAACAACCACTTTCTTTGGTACCTAAATATTACATATGCGTAGTTCAAAGAAACCACTAGTGTGCAAATACAGTTGAACCGTACAACAGTATTAGACAGTGGATATCTAATAAAGATCTTAATTAAGATTTTCATGAAATTTAAATATTAGTTCTGGATGGCATGAATAACAACCCAATTTAATCCAAGAAATGGATAATGGGTGAGGACGCCAATTTCTTTAAATTAAACACTCTTTTTTTTTCAATTTAAAAAAAAAAATCTCTCCCTAACATTTATTGCTCCAGTGCTCCCAAACTAACATTTTTTAGCATTATTTTTTAATTTGGAAAAGTAATTACAACTGTCTAAAAAGATGGAAGGGTGTTTTTGTCCAACCTATTTACGTAATTATCCTCTTCCAAAACCCGTTCTCTGTTTCACTGACCTTCCAAAGATTCCAAAGATCTTAAATCTGTTTTATAACTTAATCACTTTGCATTATTAGTTCCTAAATTGCCCTTACGGTCAAAGATTCCATCTATTTACTAAAATGCCATCCTTAGAGACCTAAATAACCGGTTTTACAATTTACGTTTCCTGCCATCGGAGCTCCTAACCGATTTTTGGGAGCACCGAAGCGGTCGGCCAGTTCAAAAAAAAAAAAAAAAAAAAAAAATTTAAAAAAAAAAAAAAAAAAAAAAAAATCTCTCCCTAACATTTTCTTGGATTCTATAATCAGTTTTAAATGCCCCCCAACTGAAAAAAAACAGAACTCTCTCCCGCTTTATTCCTCCCTCCCTCTTCAACAAACAAGTCTAAAAAAAAAAAAAAACTCAAACAATTACTTTAATTCTCATTTGCTTTCAGATCATTGATTATCACTAATGGCGAGGTCCATGGCTCGCCGAAATCCTCCGTCGCCCGGGAGCGAGGAGAAGATCAGAAGAACAAGGCGCTGTATTGAAATTGACAGTGTATGTACAGTTTATGTATATACTTCTTTTATTTTCCTTTCTTTTGTCGGCAAATGATTAATTTCTTGATGAGGTTTATAGTTCTTGAAGTTTATTAACTGGCCCTGACCGATGGAAGCTTTGCGTTGTTTCGATAAATGCAGAAGTTCTTTTTAGCGAAAAATAGAATAAGTTTGAATTATAACAGCAAGAAGATCTTTTGATGTACTGAGCCCAAATCTTTGATTAATAGTTTTATTTAGTCCCCTTTTGTTTCCATCATGATGCGGTTTATTTTGGCATAATTATTCTATTAGTGATTAATGACAACAATGTATATATATATATACAGACTTCTTTCAGAGTTAAGTTTCTTTCATCACGATTATCTTCTGTTTGAGTCCTTATTTTTATTTAGATCATCTTTCAAATTAGCGTTAATCGGTATATTTTTCCTAATATTTCTAACATTTTATTTCAGATGAAAGACATTATTGTGGCCAGATGCCTTCGTCGGTATATGACGAAAAATGAAACAATGGCCTATTTATACATTGAAGAACGCCGAGAACCTGCATACGCTGAACTGAGTATTCAGTTTGCTTGATTTTTCTGATTTTTTTACATTTTTTATAAATTTCCATGTTATATAGCCACCGAAACTTTCGGATTTTTGCTTTTGTTTTTATATATGCAGTCTGGGAAGAACTAGAGAATCAGAATCCTACATTCTTCAGGCTTTACAATACGTTGGCTGTGATCAAGAAACAGGTTGAAAAGTACAATGAGCTCCTCGTGCATCAGAAAATTGCCATGAATCAGAGAAATTCTAACGGTGATCCATCGCGTATGATTGCTTTCAAATATTTGCAATATTTAATTACTTCCTAATTTTTTTTTATTTTCCTTGCATTCTAGAGGAAATTCAATTACAGCCTTATGATTGAATGTAAATATAACAATTTTGGTGGTTGTATTATTCAAGACTTACACGTACATTGTATTTCTTGATTAATCCTAAAGCTTGAATTTAGTTCCAATTTATTGTAGCGCATCTTAATGTTGGGAACCGGAATTTACCAAGTGAAGGAGTTGCTTCTAAATCCCCTAGTGGTGATCCATCTTGTATGATTATTTTGACATTTTTGCAATATTTTCGCATTATGTTTTTGGTTTTCTCTTAGATTATGAATGAAAATCACTTGGCATATTTCATAGTTGACGAGAGCAGAACATTATGAACAGTTGTATTAGGCTAAAATTTATTGCATTTTACACCTGAACTTTCTCATTATGTTAATTTTGTTAAAATTCATGAATTTTGCAGGCAGTACAACAGCTAATGTTAGCAACCAAGATTTGCCCAGTGGAGTTCCTTCTGTAGCCGTACCTAATGGTGAGCAAATAGGTCTGGTTATTTTCGCAATTGCAATTCATTATTCCTATTTTTTGTGTTTATCCTTTGTTTCTAAAATAATATAATTTTTAAAAGGCAACACATTGGCCTATGCTAGCAACCAGTAATAATTATGCATTACATTTTCTGATCAAGCCTGAAGCTATTTCCAATTTGTTGCATATTGCATCTGAAGTTCGTTATTGCTTTAATTCTGTAAAATCTCATGAATTTCGCAGGTAGCACATCGGCTTACGTTAGCAACCGAAACTTTCCCAGGGGAGTTCCTTCAGTATCTCTTCCTAATTGTGATCCAGCAGGTATAATTATCTTCGCGCTCTTGGATATATTCTTTCTATTTTTGTGAATTTCTCATATTCTAGGGAGGAAAATTAATTGTAGTATACATGAATTTCAATATTTATCTCATTATCAAGCTTGAATTATGTTCAAATAACTGCATTTTACACCTAAAGTTCCTCATTTTCAGGTATTCCATATAGCAACCGAAACAATATTCAAAATAACCCATGTATGGTAACTTTCAACAATTTTCAGTTATTCTTTCTATTTTAATTCAATGTCAGCTTGGAGTTTTTTTGTTTACACTGCTGCGTTCAAAGGACCCTCACAAATCCTATGTGCCTCGATTACCCTATAGGAAAAGTCAGTTCTTCATTTGTGTTCATTTTGTAAAATTTCATTAATTTTGCAGGCAACACTCGGGCTTATATGGGCAATCCTGGGAACGTGCAACAATATACATGTATGTTTATTTCTAGCAATTTTCAATTATTCTTCCCTTTTTTTGTTTTCCTTGGATTATATAAAGTGAAAAAAAAAAATCCATCTTCAGCCTCATGGTTCAGCGAAAATGAGACGTATTCATGTCGGTTTTTTCATTCTGTAAAATTCTACATATGATTATTGCAGGCAACGCATCACCTCTTGTTGCCAACATGAATCACAACATGTATCCTTCTTCGATGAATACTAGAATTTATGGGCCTAATTCCCCAAACCAAAGGCCTCAGTTTGCAATCCGAGGTTCTCATTTTCTGACAACGTGTCCTTCGACAAGAATGAATCAAAGTACAGATCATAGAATGAATCCTAGGACGATGATGTATCCTTCACCTGGAATCCATAATAATGGGATAAATACCGATCCAAGGATAAGCACACCAGAGACTATAATCAGAAACTACAGTCCAGATTCACTCCGACTAGCAGTGAACCGGCCATTTGATGCAGGGATGCAAGATCATGATCAACAACTGCTAGGTAAAAAAGTTTTTAAATTATGTTTCGGTTTAATATCTAGAAAACACGACAT